ATATTAAAAAAAATACATTATTTATTTGGTTATTACATTAAATGGGGTTTTGTCTTCATTGACACTGCATGGAACTAAAATAAACCAAGACATGCTCAGAGAACAAAGCTACCTCAGGGTTGTGGGTGGCATTTTTCAGACCTATGCTTACATCATTTATATTTATTTACTGTCTAGTTTATTTCTGTGTTTGAGCTCAAGGAACTTCGTATTTGGGAAACGAAAACAAAGTTTGTCATTGTAAGGGATGGCTGCTGCTCTCTTTTCCTGAATTTTTCAGGACAAAACTCAGTAACGGTCTCAGGTTTGAAGAACTGGTTATTAACAGTTCTGCCTGCTGTTAAAATGCCTGTTGTGTAACTACACATTGGTGCTTAGTATCATGGTTAGTGTGATGCAGTGCTCCCTGCTCCCTGAAGAACAGGCTTGCTCAGAATCATAGAATAGTTTGGGTTGGAAAGGACCTTAAGGTCATCCAGTTCCAACCCCCCTGCCATGGGCAGGGACACCTCAGACTAAACCATTTCACCCAAGGCTCTGTCCAACCTGGCCTTGAACACTGCCAGGGATGGAGCATTTACAACCTCCCCGGGCAACCCATTCCAGTGCCTCACCACCCTCACAGTAAAGAACTTCTTCCCTATATCCAGCCTGAACTTCCCCTTTCAGTTTGAACCTATTACCCCTTGTCCTATCACTACAGTCCCTAATGAAGAGTCCCTCCCCAGCATCCATATAGGCCCCCTTTAGATACTGGAAGGCTGCTCTGTGGTTTCCACGCAGCCTTCTCTTCTCCAGGCTGAACAGCCCCAACTTTCTCAGCCTATCTTCATACAGGAGGTGCTCCAGCCTCTGATCATCCTCGTGGCCTCCTCTGGACTTGTTCCAACAGTTCCATGTCCTTTTTATGTTGAGGACACCAGAACTGCACACAATGCTCCAAGTGAGGTCTCATGAGAGCAGAATAAAGGGGCAGGATCACCTCCTTTGACCTGCTGGTCACGCTCTTTTTGATGCAGCCCAGGATACAGTTGGTTTCTGGGCTGTGAGCACACACTGAAGCCAGCTCCTGTTCATTTTCTCATTGACCAGCACCTCCAAGTCCTTCTCCCCAGGAAGTTACATAAAGAATTTGTTCACAGAAACAACTGAGGAGGAGCAGATTCCTGCTGTCGGGTGCTCACACTACCGCAGTTAGACATGGTACACTTACAGCCAACCAGCTCCAGAAGCACCAGTGGTGGGACAGCTCTAATGGGTTAGTACAAGAAAGCAAAATACTTCCTAAAAACCAGTTCAGCAACACAATCAGTCTGTTTTCCCCTTGTCACTTCCAGGGTGTGATGGAGCTGCCTGGTCTGTGCTTAGTTCAGGCATGGCTCTAAGCTCCCCAGTGCAGTACGTCCACTGCACCAAGATTAAGGATGAACAAGCTCGTTCACTTCAAACTTAATTGTTTTATCTCACAGATTTAACTGTTTACAAAGGAGACATTTGAAGCCTTTGCTGAGTGTCAGAGAGGGCTGCTTGTTACTCTCTCAGTATGAGAACAACCAGTAACTTCTGAACTGCAATAAGCATTAACAGCAGGAAGCCAAATGAGAATTAATGTTTGGAGAAGACTAATTACTGGCTGCAGAGATTTGTTCCTTGTTGGAACAACAGGGTTTGTCAAACAGTTGTAGAATACAGAGTTTAAACTGATAACTCTGTAAATAAGAAGTTTGTTCAGCTACAGAAAGGGTTCCAGTATTAAATATGACAAGTTGTCCAAAGTTATTTCTAACTTGCCCTTTCAGCTTGTTCTGTGTAGTTTTGGGCTCTGTTTATGTGCTAAGAGTTAAATTCTTAGTCCTTCATTTACAGTTGTTACTTAAGAAAACCAAAACAAATCTACTGAAATGGTGAGTAATGGGAGCAGTCTCACAGCATTCCAGAGTGGTAGATTTTTACAGCATGGAAAAGAATGTTGTCTGCATGGATTTTTGGCATTTGGGAGCTTTTTGTAACTGACAGTTCTTGAGGAAATGATCTCATGGACATGATGCTATTGCAGAAACCTTTATGAGACAAAGTCAAGGTCTGGATTTTGCAGGAAAACATCAAATGTTCTCCAGATCCAGTGACATTTATCCTAATTCTTGATGTGAAGTCTTGTTAAACAAAACGGAGCTGTGACTTAGAGAATAAATGATTGAACTTTTAGTCAAAAGGGGTGTATGAATAAATGTTAGATTTTGGACTACCGAAATAAAAAAGAATAGTCTTGGACATTTCACCATTAACTGGTTACCTGTGGAAGACTGCTATGAGGTCTCCACTGCACGCACAGTACAGTGAGGGTACGGATGCAGCCAGCGGCCAGGTTTTATGTATCAATAACTGGACAATGCTTCCTCACACAGGGAGGCTGAACTGCCCATCGTAAGAGAGAAGCGCAACTGCCTCTGTGATCTCATGAACGTGCCCAAACCACAGCTGGTGTCCAAGGTAAGAAAAAGCAACAGGCTCCAGAGGGGGTTCAGAGAAACAGTGATGATCAGCTGCTCCCCACACCTACTGAGTACTTGTGTGTGCCAGCTGTGGTTCTTCACTGGCTCCGGAGGAACTTCCTCACACCTCACTACACAACCCAGAGAATTGCTGGAGACTCTTTGGCTTGAGCTCTTCCAGTCTTGCTTCTTGAAAACATTCCAGGCCTGTAGCATGACATCTTACTCAGGCAAAACCTGGAATGAAAATGCAGTACGGATGTTTCAAACACTGACATTCCTGGGGAAAGAGAAGAAAGGATAAAACCCTCCCCATCAAGTTCAATAGCAAAATGATAACGTGAGATGAAAGCAGTGTTCCGACATTGCCTAAGAGGCAGAATAGATTTTGACAATTAATACATTCACAGAAGGCAGAACTGTGTCCCCATGTAGGCCCCATTTCATGCACATCTTTTGGAATTGCCCATTTTCTGCTCAGTCAGGGGTTCCTCTCCTCCCTGTCCAAAGGTGAGGAGGCTGAATCATTACTGCTTTTGAGAACATGTGTTAACATGACAACTTACAAAGAAAAGTTAGTTTTACTTTGAGCAATGCAAGACAAGGTGAAAATGCTCAATGACCTAGGGCTACTTCTGTACTTATCACAGGCATCCACAGCATATGATCTATTCTGTAAACAGATTAAGCTAAAAATAGTGATATACTGATTTATTCTTGCCCTTTGTAATACTCACTATGCTTTCATAGCTCTACAATGCTTTGTGCTTTGTAATTATTTTAGAATTCAGAAACATCACCCATGCAGTCTTCATTTCCCTCACCATTAGGTTTATTTTCATTACTAGAATTATGCAAACCATTGGGTTTTTTTGCCCTGCACAGGATTGCATTTTTAGCATTAGCCTTTTTCACAGCTGCACCACCTGTGGCTGAAAGCCACCAAGTCCTTTCTCCTGCACAGCATCTAAAGGAGATCTTGGCTGGTGATGTTTTTGCAGTGCTTGTTGAACTGTCTCTATGTGATTGTTACATGATGTAAGTCTTTTGAGGTCAGCCAGTTCCTCCTATGTAATATTCTGATAATCCTTTACGCTATAAAGATACTCCCTAATGTAAGTAGATCCTATGTTTTTAGTTATCATTGATTGATACAGATATATATATATCTATATACACACACTTTAAAAAGGTGTGTTTAATAAACTGGTCAGAAGACCATACTTCACTGGTTACTCACTGTGAGTAAACTTCAGAGACACCCTGCTGTGGCCACAGCAGTTTCTTTACTCGTCTTTCAGCTCTTCCCATTATGTCTGCTCCTTTGTGCTTTTAGTACAATCTTAACATATCTGCAACTGCAGTTTTGTAATGCTGGTAAGCAAGACCTGGGCCCTCTCACCCCTACAGGGAACTGGGTTTAGAGCAAAAATCACCCTGAGCATTGCTGAGTCAGGGTTAGCTATCAACCACCAGAAGGGTGTTTGTTACAAGATGAACTCCCTGATCTCAAAACCCCCTTATTTCAATTCATTAATTACTGGAGGCTGAGAGAAGACTGACAAGTTAGGAAAAAACTGTCTCTAATACACACAAAACAGTAAGAAATACCCAAATATACATACAGGTGTTTCAGGTGGAACTGTTACAAACAGCATCATGTAATCTGGAAGTCAGGTGTTGGATTTGGAACTTTATCTTTTCCTCCTCTGTTAACATGAGAGAGTCATTAGTATAACTTCCAGCAAAGAGAGTGAAGCCTGCACCTGCCCCAAGAAGTGCTGGAGTTCACTCTGAAAGTGACAGCGCACAACACATTGCTCTTCCAGAGCTCCCATAAATAGAGGAAGCCAAGCATAACAGTATAAAAAGCTGGCCAGGTAATTTCAGCTGAAATCAGCATTTACAATGCCTTTAAAACTTGTACAAATAAAATCTGCTAGAGGATAGTTAAAAATCACAGTGTTAGAAAGGACTGCAGATGTTACAGCTTTGTATGCCTACGTTTTCTTCTCCATCCTTAGTTTACTAAATTACATGACTGAGGTACTGTTAAAACACTGATACATGCCTACCCCATGTGTTTCTTCTCTCTTTTAGAGCTCAGCATGATGAACCTGCAGGCACTGGTCCGTCAGCTGAAGCTCTGGGCTCAGGTGGTGTTAAGACGGATGAGTTCATGCTGCAGCATCCTGACAAAGGGGCTCTCAGCAGGAGCCATGCAGCGCGCTGTTGAACAAGAGAAGAGGCAGAGATCACGTCTTACAGCACTGTGCAGCTCTGCCACGGGCAGGCAACAACGATTCAATGTGGTTTCAGTTTTTAAAGGCATTACCTGTAGCCACAAGATGGCGGTTTCATACTTCTGTCATGATTGACCTAGGTTATTTCTCTTGATGTCAGTGATTTATACCCCTACAACTCTGAATGGAGCTATTCAGGCCGTGCTTGCTGTACACACATTTAGTATTAAACCTGCCTTGCTGCATTAGTCTCTGAAAAGAACTGTTTTTCAGAGGTAAGTATGGCAGTGCTTAGTGGTAACGAAATCTTCCTGAACATCCACTATCTCTGTGGATAAATCTGTCATATTTATGTCATAGTAAAACAAAAAAATGCAAGTTTCACTTCAGCTCAAGTCAAAACCTCTCAGTAGCTCTTTAGAGAAGTAACTCAAAGTAAATGATTTTTGAGGTAAACTAGCTTTAGGGATTGAAGCTTTATCCTGCTGAAGAACAGAGTACTTCCAGCAACCACTAGGAATTTAGACCATTTCTTATTGACCATAAAATTAAATGGCTGGTAACATTTATATCTTTAGCAAGGTTAATGCGCTGGGGAGGACAAATGCACAGGCAACATGATACTCTAATTACACTATGTTATTTGATGGTTTGAATTAAATCTCACTATCCCAGTGCTTCGGGTAGAACAATAGCTCTGTGTGTGTGTGTGTGTGTGTGTGTGTGTGTGTGTGTGTGTATACACGTATCTATGAGGATTTAAAAGGAAGGAAAAATTCAGGCAGAGGAGCTAAACCCAAGCCAGTTTCTCTGTGAAATACCTGCTACAAACTGCAGCAATCTGCTCCTGCAGGTGCTCCCTTCCAAAACTACACCCTGGCTGTCTCCCAGAGCCTTTTTAAGAAGGTGACTATAAATTGTATTATTCTGTATTTCCTAAGTATACTTGCAACCTGTCTGGGAGATTAAATTCAGTGTAGATCAGAGTCATTCACTGCCTGTTACACAATCAGTACTGATTCATGTGGCTGTGTGTGATGCAGGGCTGCCCACAGGTATTACTGCAGGAGGAATGCTCCTGAACCCACAGCCCCGGTGTTGTTGCTCTGTCGTTAAAATGGGAAATTCTAGAACATTCTTAAAAGACCTTGGATTTGCAAAGTTATTCCTACAGGTCCCTGCTGCAAGAAAAACCATGAGTTGTGTTGGCAATACCTGCTTATTCAGGAAAACCTGAGAGGGTACAGTGAAAACGGTGAGCATCTGTCCCTGCAAACACACATCTGGCTGCCAGATGATGGTACAGACACAGCTACTTTCACACAGCCCCAGTTGGAGGATGCCACGCTCCGGTCAGAGCCTGGCCCTGTGCAGAGCTTCACCTCAGCCAGCACCAGCTGCAGCATCCAGTGGCAGGGAATGGCTGAGTGATGTTTGACAGAACCCTCTCTTTACACTTCCAGAGGTTACAGGCTTTGCTTAGTGCATTTCTAAGGGTTCCCTATGGTAACAGTCCCCTTGTAATCTTATGGCCTGCATTGGATGGTTCTTTAAATTAGAAATACAATTTAATGATCAAACTGAACTTGGCAAACAAGGGATGTGCAATAGTAAAATGAGCAAATAGCATTATCCATGGTGTAACCAGGACCTCCCCTAGAAAGGGGTCGCTCAGCACAAAGATTAACTTAATAAAGCACAGATTGCTAAAAAATTCTCAACCTCTGAACCCTTGGGTCTTGGTACTCACAGATGCACAGAGGAGAACACGGCTTCAGTATCACTGCCTTACCTTGGGTTTTAGTTAAAGTGATAATAATCCACCCCTTCCTTCAAGTTCAGCATGTTCAGGTTTGCTTCAAATGCTCCACCTGTCAAATCCTGGCAGGGAAGAAAACCAGAATGAGCTCAACCAGACAAACACGTTTCAGGTTATAACAGGTTTGGGTAATTCTGGTCTTTAGACCACAGAAGAAGTCCTATTTGCAGAACTAACCATAAACAAAAAGCCAGGCTCAGAAATGTTTCCATTCAAAAATCAAGTGTATGCTGAAAACTTGAAAGTTCAAGGAAGTATTTTGGGGGGTGTCAGACAACTCCCTCTCACGCTGCAGTGTGGAACAGGAGGGCAATACCGGGCACAGCTCTGCAGGGTTTTTGCACACTTTGGTCCCTAATGCATCATCAGAGAATGGACCAAGGGGGTGAGTTTGACACTTGAGTGGTTTTCTAGATTCTGAACAAGGGTTGCTTGTCTGACGAAAGAAACCTCTCATCAGGCAGCTGAAATACTTTGCATAGTGAAAGGTGTTTTTGCTTTGAGCCCTAGTTACATTACCTGACCGGGAGCTGGGTGGGTTTGCTCCATGAGCAATTGTGCAAGGCAGTGATGATGGCATAGCGGAAGCACAGCAACTGCAGTGTTTCTGAGCATTTCTACTGAAGTTGTGGACCAGAGTTTTCAGACTAGATGTTGTATTACAGTCTCATTGTGAGGGCTTCACAAATTAAATGTGCTTTATAACAGGTTGCACAGATGTTTTGTCTAGGGACTTCCACCCACCATTATATGTAGTCTGAAGAGTTAAATTAGTTGTAATATTACTAGCTTATCCAAGAGTTTATCAACCAACAGTACATGATAATGCCCTAAGGTACTTTCAGCCTGGCTTTACAACTCATAGTTACGATCTCAGAGTCGATCATAAAGTTGGGAGTGCTCAGTTAAAAGGAGACTGTACCAGATGAGATGAGATTCAGCTAATCAACCTTTGCACAGATCCAGCACAGTGCTGGGATGTTGGTGTTTGTATCTAGATACAGGTTTAGTTACTGTCAAATGTTTGCAACTAAAATATATTTGCTGTTTTGCTTTAAAACTTCAGTGTTACCCCATACACTGTGCTCTGCTATTTTAAATGTAACAGCAAAATAATTGCTGGTTATCGTCTTCTAGTTGTGTTACTAGGTCAATTAAAGCAGCTGGAATAAGAAAGTTGCCACAGTTGGGCACAGAAAAGGCTTTGGAATTGGCAAGGCAAAACCAAACAGTTTTTCAGGTCTGATTTAGAAACCAAAGTCTTTGTCATACATAGGGCTGCAAAATATGAGGAGTAAATGAGGCCAGGTGGTAACTGTATCTGCCCATTTGTGTGTATAATGTTGGGCAAGAAAGTAAAACAAATCCAAATTCCTTTACAGAAGCCCTACTTTTCATTATTCTTAATACATATCTACTTGATACTGCTGTCCTAAATCCCTGAAATACTCTGCTCCATCAGTTTGGTTAAAAAGCCATTCAATTTCCTAGTACAAGGTTCTGGGAAAAGCTACTTGCAGTAAATAGAACGTAGTATTTGTAAGAAGCAAATGCCAGTTTCAGATGTAAAGCAAAGGCTGAAGGTGGCACTCACCAGCTTCACACAGATAATGAAGGGAGGAGTTGCGTCTCTGAAGTGACAAACTGGAACTCTTGGTTTTGGTCTCTCCTGCAGGAAGAAGCAGTAGGGTTCAGCAGAGGCACACAGGGCTACTGGAACTTACTTTTAGAAGCTACTGAACACTAATTTGGGGAAAGAGTATTTTGAGACTATACACTAAATAGCTGCTCACTCACTCATTTGTTTCCCAGTTGGCTCGAGCACCCCCCTGTTCTTACCACAATCTTTCAGTACAATTGAGTTTCTTTGCCCAATGTTGCAAATGACACCAGATCTGAGTTAAGAGCCTTCTGCTGTTGGAAAGAGGAGGTCTCACTCCTTCACCACTTTTTTCCTTACCTCCAAGCTCTACTTTTAGCCCTTTCCCAAACAATTCCCTCTCAGATCTGATGGCTGGGTATGCCTACCCCGTAAAATAATATGGGGCTTTTGGGTAGGTTGATTTTCTGCCCCTTCAGTGAGCTGCATCACTTACTGTGCCATCAGACACATCAAAGCAGGCACCGCAGTGGGTACAAAGGAGAATCCTTCCCTCTCAGTGGGAGCTATTAAATGGCTTGTGCCCAACTGGGACTTCACCATGGAGCCAAGCTGCAGAATTTGCTACGGAATCACAACAGTTTGCAGCACAGTCTTCTTCATGACTGCTCTGGGAGCAATTACGCTGACAGTACCACTACAGTGCTAGGTAGTGAGCCCTCAGGATTCCAGGTCAAAATCCCAAACTCCAGTTTCTTTCATGCAGCTGGAAGCACTCATCAGCTTCCCAGTATTGTCCTTGATGTTACACTTACTGTGGTATAACCACAAGCTGTGTACCTGAGGAGGTGCCCCTCCTCGCCTCAGTCCTACTCCCATCAGATACAAGGATCATGCAACCTCAGGGTAATTGATTCACAAGATAACTCACGGGAGAACCTTTTATTTGGAAGGTTCCTTTTCTGCCAGATCAGCTCATTGAATCCAGTCACCCCTGAGCCACCAGCCTGCATGGCCCACCATAACACCACAGCAGGAGTGTGTGGCTGAGGGCAGCGCAGGATCAGGCCACCCCAGGCTGCAACAAGACATTTTTTCCCCCATCTGGCTTGTTTATTGCCATCTAAATACTAATACTTCCTTGTCTAGGAGATAAAATGCTGCTGCTTACAATTCTAAACTGCCAAGGAACCTGCCAAAGTTCTGTTCAGATCCAGTATACCCTATGGTACACAGATAGGTTACAGCTAATCACAGCAGCTTGCTTTATTTTAATAGGTATTTGAATTTATCCATCATAAGCCAAATTCTACCCCCAGTTAAAAGAAAAAGCCCTGTCAGTGAGGGCTGTGTGTTACCCTGTTACACCAGAATCCTTCCAAAGTATATCTGGGTTTGTCTTTCTGAACTGACTTCAGTGAGGTCACTCCAGTAGCCATCCCCAACAATCCAGTTTTCTGTCACAGCCTCCTTATCAGAATGAGTAGCCACACAAGATTTAAAATCACTTTGCCCAGACCCCTTTCAGATCACAGTAAAGAAAGAACTAACCTCAGATTCCTCGTAAGTGTAGAATCCTTTTGTTATTTTCTTTTCATCCACATCACAAAATGCAGTTACCTGCAAAACAGAAATGGAGAATTTCAGCACCATCCCTTGCTACCATGGGTATTTCACCTGCAGCGTATCTGTCAGTAACAATACAGGCATGTGAAGGAACACAGAAATAGGGCAACGTGCCTCAGTCCTCCTATGGAGCTTAAACAGTTACTAAATCCTTTCCAGGCGTATCTTAAGGAGATGGATGCGTTTTGCAGTTGCCCATGAGCACGTGATGTTTTTACAAACATGAGAACAGGGGATCTAAGCTACTTACTGCATGAGACAAAACATCTATGAGATCTTCATCCTCAGGAATATGCTAAGTAAAGTACAACCAGAAAGTAGCCTTCTCATTTTGGCACCTAATTCCACTAACACCTAAGATTAGATAACACAAACCCGCCTCCTTCTGCCCATCCCAAGCTATATACCACCAGATAGCTCAGTACTGCAGTCCCAACACTACTGCTTTGGATGCTCTGGTAATGCCAGCCCCAATTCTAGGTCATAACACACCATGTTTGGGAATTCCTGTGGGTTTGGACTGAAAAGTTCAGCAGATCTGGTATTTAAACACGTATCATTACTGCTTCATTTTGGATCTTCTTACTGTAGTTATGGAAGCATTATCTGCAGCCCTAATTGCCAAACATTTTAGATGGTTTCCTATTTGCATTCCTCATAAATATACAGGCAGAATAAATGCAATCCAAACTACACAGTGGCCTCACTTTTGAACCAATAGGTTGTCAGTAACATAGCTCTGTTTCCCTCTGCCTTCCATTTGAGCTACTCGTATTATCTACACCAAACTCTTACACTGAAGCAGAACAGTTAACTCAGATAAGAACTTACAGAAATCAATTATTCTGGTGAAAGCTGGATAGCAGTTTTCCTATCTTTTTAATTGCTGCATTAAAAATTGATTCACAACACTTACTGCTGAGAGAATGTGAAAAGCCCAACAGCTGTTTGTTAATTTACTAAGTTAGAGAAGGCTGCAAAGGCTGGCTCTCTTCCTGTGCCTGCAGACCTCTCTCACCCTTTCTTCCTGTGATTAAGATAGTTTTCCTTTACCTAAAGTGACCTCATTGGCTTTGCACAGAGGAAAACTCTGACACGAGTCATCATGCTGCACTTGTGCATCGTGCCACCTTGACAGCCCCAGAGCAAGACTGCAGAGGACCAGAACTGTGTTATAGGTGTTTCCAGGCAGTGGCCAGACAGAGCTGTGTGCTCCTACAATATAAAAGGTGTTTCTACATCAAAAGTACTTTGAAGATACTTCCCCTATCCAACAGAACAGTTTGCTATCCAGATCCTTAAAGCAGCAACCATTAGCAACTCTCTCAAAGATCTTTAAGCTTTCATTTTCTCTTGAACACAAGTTAATACACTTTACATCTCTGACCCTATTTCTATGACCACTGTAATGCATTACTGTAGCTAAAAAAATCAGATGGTGTGGCCTGAGCACTATAAACTACATCACAAGGTTTCCTGTACCCATCTTACTTACATGTCTATATACACACATGTATATACGTGTGTGTGTGTATTCATATATATATATTATATATATATTTTTTATATATATATATATAAAGAGAAGCAAGTGGAAGCTACTGGGGAAGGAGAGGTTCCTTTGCTGTTTACTTTTCATTCTGTGTTAACCACCTTTAAATTCTCCAATATCTGCAAATCTGGCAGTGTTCAAGGCCAGGCTGGACACAGGGGCTTGGAGCAAGCTGCTCTAGTGGAAGGTGTCCCTGCCCGTGGCAGGGGGTTGGAACTGGATGAGCTTTAAGGTCCCTTCCAACCCAAACCAGGCTGGGATTCTATGAAATCCACTATTAATGTTCCACTGTCCTAGAAGCTGTGCTCACTACAAACAAAATTCAGCAGGATAGGTCTTCATTGCCCACCCAACAGAGTTCTGGGAATAAACACAGTCCAATACATTGACTTACCTTCCAGTAACTGAAGCTGTTTTTCCGCTGCTCATCCTCCTGTACATTTGAAAGACCAAACCAAAGTGCCAAAACTTTTGACATAAGGCAAAGTGAAATTCTGTCTACACTGAAATGTCAGTAACTGAGAATCCAGCTGCAACATCTGTGCTGGAAAGTGTCACACCATTCACCTTCTGCACATTGCAATGCAGTTATCAGAAACCTGACTGGTGGATGGATTTCTTCTTAAGATGAATGAAGCCAGAGAATCAAAGACAGTTCTTGTATCACTAGATTACTAATAGTCACAATACTTCCTCCCATCCTGTGCCATAACTCATACTACCATGAGCAGAAAATGCTGCAGCCAACTGCCCAGCCCCAGAGGATGCAGCACATGGAGCCCTTGCTAACTCCACAGGTCAGGCTGTGACAGATTCCCTTTGGAACATGGAAATGGCTCAAACCTTTCTTTGAGTTACCAATAAGGCATCTCCATGTATAACTCCCAAGGGATTCAGCCAGCTTAAATCTGATATTTACAGTATTCTAAACCAGGTCAGGCTTGAATGGGCAATTTTTCTGCCAGACTGTGCACCATGTGGGTGGCCAAAATGTAAGTCAATGTTTTTATGACACACACCATTTATTTTCCAATTAAAGAAAATCTGTCTGGAGCCTAAATACAGGACTTGTGCGCAGTTGTTTATCTGGACAGTGAACTTAAGGCACGAGGTTTATTTGAGCTATTTACTTTATAGGATAAACCCAGAGTTACCTATTTATTTTCCTGCATTAATGAACTTCTTTCTTGTATCTTTTATGAAGACCATCCATCCATACATGAACTGCTGTCTCGCAGGGAGGAAGCTATGAATTATAAAGCTATAAAGCAGTCTCAAGTTGATGGGGTTTTTTCTCTCCTCCTAGCTCTTTGGCAATGCCTCTGATAACGTGACTCCATTGAAGCTTACAGAGTCCTCAGATCGCACTTCAGTTTTAAGAAAATACATCAATGATTACATATTTTGGCTTTGAACATCACTTGTGTATTTCCAAAACAAAGAAAAAAGACTGCTGTTTCCCTCAGCTACAGATATCTGTTATATACAAGCTCTACAGTTACTAAAAGTAATTTTTACAACTACGGATTGCAACATACATTAACATACACAGTGGAAGGGGAAAAAGGAGAAAAGAGTTTTCTCTCTCGTAAGGCACAGTTTACACAGCTCAAAAGATAAGATATTTACTCAACAAAAAATCTGTGCTAGGGGAAGACACGTTTGAGGAAGATAAAGGCACTTCTCTGGCTGGTTAGAATCATAGAATAGTTAGGGTTGGAAAGGACCTTAAGATCATGAAGTTCCAACCCCCCCTGCCATGGGCAGGGACACCTCACTCAAACTATATCACCCTTTTAATAAACACAGCTCTGAGTGAAGGGACACCCAGGCTGGGACTATCAGACCTCCCTGTGGCAAAAGGGTATTAAAATGGGCAGCAGATTAATCCTATTCCAAACGTAGGACCTAAGAAGTCAGTGAGAGTGTGCCTGGGCTGGAGCTGTAATTACCTGCCTGTGTGAGCTGTGTCACTGTTGTAACTGAATTCAGCTTGTTTCCTACTTACCTTGTTTCCTGCCTTGTTGGCTACTGCAGAGGTTGCTTCCTTGCACTTCCCATTCCACTCACATTTCCTAATGGAAAACTTGACAGGTTTTATCAGCCCAGTAAGATCTGTTTATGGTAGATGATCTTCAGAGGGTTTTATTCCCTCTTTTTATTTCCACCTGGGGGCTGCCTTAGGTCTGCAGTGATCATTTACCACAAGCAACAAGATGCAATCACAGCAAATGCTCAAGATCTGCTCTGGCTGGAAGGAGGCAAGAGGCAAGTTTTACAAGGGAGAGTGAACGACTCAGTAGAGCATGACAGGAAAAATGGACAAACCTCTTGATGAGTGCTCACTTGCACTGTCCCCTCTCCCACCTCATTGCATCGACTGGTCCCATAAAATTAATGACAACAACCTGCAAACTCTACAGAATCCTGTAGGAGCAGATCTTCCCTTTGCAATCCCTCCACAGCTCATGCAATCCTTCATCCAGTTTCAACTTCTGGTGACCCTGGTGATTCTTCTATTTATACTTCTCTCATTCAAACTCACACAAAGCCTCAGGAGCATGTTAATATACATCTCTGCGAAGTTACATCAATTTTGGCCATTCATGTCAAAACAAAGCAACTGAAAGCATTATGTTGCAAATTTAAATAGACACAGTTAATGACAAACAGAACAAGAGACAGGCAGAAGCATAAACATCTTCCAGTATGCCACAACTGAAACCATGATACGAGGAAGCAACTCTCCATCACAGTAGAGGGATTTTCAGTATCAGGGTGCTGCTTTTATCTCCCCCCTGTAGCATTACAGCCACAACAGAAGCTGTGGTTATCTAAACTCCAAGCACACACTCCATGACTGTTTAAAGATGCTATTCAATGACAGATAGCAGCATTGTCCCTCTTTGCACATCCATCTGCAACATCGCTCAAGAGAACTTTAATACCAGAATCCAACATGCAAAATAAGCTGCTAAATATTGTATGTACAAACTACCCCCTTATTACATAGAACAAACAACTACCCTTGCTCTCATTCCTCTAGAACAAGTAACTGCATTGATATTCCAACAGCATAACCAATAACCATAACAGCAGCAACAAAACACACATTGCAAAAGCACATCTTCCTGAGCGGAAGCATTCGCTATACTCCAAAACAAAGCCTCTATTTTACCCCATGTTCCTTTAGGATGCTTTACACCTGGATTTAACTGGAGCTTTCAAATTTCTCCTTTAACTCATTTTCCCGTTGTCATTCTTTCATCCACAGTGAGGTGAATGTAATGATTTTCCCTTTATTTATGTATCTTTGCTTTGATATGTCCCACTTCACTCCCTCATACCGCCTGTCATATACTTTAGAGCAGTCAAAATGCTACCAAACTTAAACAGTTCTTGCTTTCATGAGTGAGCTGAAGGATCCCAGTTGAACTACACGGTTCAGAGATGTTGCTCTTTGAGAAAGGTGAAGAGAAGCTAAAAGATTATTTTGAATGGCTCATGAGCTAGGAAAAAGGGTGCACAAAATACTGCCTCAAACCTTTCAAGTTGCCACTGGTGGGTAGGGTTGTCATAGAAAAGCTGCACGGGCTGGCTCTGTACTAGGACTGTTTCCATGCCACTAATTAGCTGGTGCTTATTTCATCCCTTCCCTTCCTTTCTGTTCACTACTTAAACACTATTTTTAGCTATCGGAAATGACACAAAATGTTAATGCTGAAGTTCTCCTTTTAGCTGAAGTTTGGTGGAGAATAAAAGAGCAGACAAGACAGCTCAGAAACCCTCCAGGCATATGTAGCATCCCAAAAACATTTGGTTTCCATCTTCAGCTGCAAATTATAGACAAGACGGATGTGTTTTAAACAAAACAAGGTCTGTTCAACTTCAGTCTTGCAGAAATGCTAATACTGAACCACTGTCAACTGCGTGAATCAAGAAGGGGACAGCCAGGAAACAGAATTTCCCTAAGAATACTGAGATCCTGGTAATGAATTCATAAAAAACCCTATTAGTTGAGTAACTTTTTTCTTGTGTTGCTTTTTAGCAAAAATACTGAGCCTTGGACTTTTGCCTGAACTCTTTGGAGACAAAGAATTAATATTCACTATACAGATGTCTGCAGGAAAGGAGAGGATATTGCTTAGGTGTCCCTTTTCTCTTTTAATAGGGCCATAATTCAGATTCCGACTGTTTTCCAAACAAACTAAGGTAGCAATTTGTTAGTAACTACGAACATCCACAGGCTGCTGCTTCCTGGAATGGCCAAAATTGGTTCTTTCTAAGAAACGATGCTGGTCAGCATGCAGTATATTTATACTTTCCAAACGTCCCACAAAACCCTTGTCAGTGTAAGAAACACAACGGCCTCATTTAGCAGGTTCTAAAAACACCAGAAACGTCCTTTTTTGAAAAGATGTTTTCTTGCATGCCCTAAGCTTGACAGATCAAATGAATGAATTCTCTTCCTGAAGATCGAATAGACTTTCAGGGGTTTCAGTTGTGTTTCTTTTCACAATTACAAACAACACAAGCTGTATAGTAGTGTATATAACAATATAATGAGGGTGGGTTATTGCTTATTCTAGGAGTATGTGTCTCAGATTTTCTACAGGTACTTAGTCCCAACTGTGCTGTGACTCCACATCCCAAACGGAATCAGTCTCATGACACCTAATGAAATTCCCAATCTCAATAAAAGGATGCAGGGATAGTGAAGCAGAGCACAGGTGAAATTCTCAAGAGTCAAACCTGACAAAAGGATAAACCCAACTGAAATTAAATTTAGACAGTTAAATTATACAGCTCAGTTAAATTATGCAGCATATTCTGGCAATTTTACCTGCATTTCAAAGGGTTTTAGACCTTTTAAGATCACACTGGTTTACACAACTGGACCTTCAGAGGAGAAAAAGGTAATTGTATTGATGTAATACATCATATTTTGTCTTTAGGGCTTTTGGAATTGTAATTTAAAGGTGTCTATTTCACATAATTGATGAATTCATACCCCAGGGCCTCCATTTACAAGACAACACTAGATTCTACTTGTAGATTCAAAATGATACCGAGTCTCCAGTGTTCTCATAATTAACAGAATATATGAAAGCTTAGATCTTGTTAAGGTAGTCTTAAAAGGGTGAGACAGGAAATGTGTTTTATTGTTTTTAGGGCTGGAAAGGACAAAGCAACAACTATTTACAGCCTTTGTTCATGTGGGATTTTAGTGTCTTTTGGCAAGAGCTGAAGATTAGTCACAAAATACCTGAAGGATTTTTGAGAAGTAGAACATGGAGTTTAACCACCTGCCTTTTACTGCTGTTCTTTTAGAAGAAAATGAAAACTTTCATGAATTGCCTATTTTATGAATTTATTTCCTGAAACTCCAGCAGAGTAATCCCTTGATTAGCGCATGGAGAAGCGACATGTTTTAACTACTTCTACAGCCTTTTGCCAATGATTTACTATGACACATTAGGGTATCATTTAAGCTTCAGTTTTAACTGAGATGGATAGACTAAGGGTCACTTTTGGAAAACCTAGGAAGATCCAATGGCAATCATAAAGAACCTGAACAACCACTTAAAACTAGTGCTTTAATCAGTCCAGACAGCACCAATTTCATCACAAGTTAGCTATCTAAAAGTTAGGCCTCTATCCCACTTAGAATGATCCAAGTAACTTTCTGAAGCTATTTATCTTCATTACTTACTAAGAAAACCTCTGAATATTTCAGATAACATGTCAGACAGTGGATAAACTTCGATCACTCTGGGTAAGGTATTGAGCATCAGGCTGTGACTGCATTTTAGCAGCAGTTTTCTGCAGTACATTTGCAAAATGAGTCATACTTGGCATGTGCAGTCGTGTCTGGCGTGTAAGCTTGCTCAATGTGTCTGCTATAGTATCCAGTAATGAATGGGTTAGTGCTCAATGCAGTATTTCAGTATCAAACTAAAGCATACTGGAATATGTGCAGTTGTAACCTTGACAGAAGCAAAACAGTATCACGGCCTGCAACACTGCCAAAGCAAACGTTATGTAAAGGTCAGCTGGAAAGCACGTCAAGATCCAGTTAATTAGAACCACACTGTCAGTGCTAGCACACCGGGAATGACGGCTGTTTCTTGCTGAAGGAGAGGTAAGATGTGGCTCTTTGGCAGAAAAATGGCAAAACCACATCAGTATTATTTTTCTCTTGCCCATTTTATCATCTCTGCAGTGACATCTTCAAATTTACATCCTGTTCAGCAAACACAATGATAAGTCCTGAATGAGTCACCTATAAAAGTAGGTGGCAAATGTTACCCAAAGCTAGAGAGGTGTTGTATCTTAATATCAGTCTCCATTTTGGCTTGGCACAAATAAAACCTACAAAACAAAACAAACCCCCCAAAACCCCACCCCCTCAGAGGGTGAGACACTGCTACAAAACCAGTACCATCTATTTTTTCAAGCTGTCATCTTTTCCCCTGGAACTGAATTTTCCAATCCTTGTCATTTTGCACAGAGAAAAATGCAATGGTTGGTAGCAAGTTAGTGGAATTCCCAAAGTGCTCTGCAAAATACTAGCGAAAGGGAACATTTCCACAGCCCCGAAGTCCAGGCACCCTGCACTGCATGAGCGAGGTAACTCATTACATTTAATGGACTGTTCTGTCCTCTTTGAGTGGCGTAACTGATGAGACACACCCAGCACTGAACCTTCTTTCTTCATGCCACGTGATGGCAATGAAAGAGGGGTCGCACTGGAGTATCAAGCAGGAAATTCAGGTTCATTTATGGTGAATTGTCTATTTACTGTATGAGTGTCCCCAGGTCCATTCATTTCAACTATGGGTTTACAAAACTACTTTATTCTGATTCACATGTGTGTGGTCTGAGGGCCACAACATTAATCAGGTTTTTATATATATATTTGTCATTTTGTCTTCCCATCCGCATTTTTGAGAAAACACATTCAGTAATAAAATGAATGTTATGGGGCTCTTTATAAGAAACAGCCATTTGACATTAGCCCTAAAGCATTTATCTACCAAAAAGTTATTACAGAAAAAAAAGTGCTATAAAAGGCGTTTAAACTCTCAGACAAACCTCTCCTGAGAAATATCTGCTATTGCCAAATCCAAGTAACCTCCATGTCTTCAACTGATTGCAAACAGAGTTAGACAGTCACGTACAAGAGTTTCTACTTGCCTGTTCGCCCCATCCCTATTTTTAAAGAATCAAGCTTTTCAAAAGGGAGTTACAGTAGAACTGCTCCTCATAATTCAAACCAGGATGATGAGCATCCAATAGGGATCTGTCCAGTATCCACTTTAGGAGCTAGGCAACTGTTATACATGTATGAATAACCCTGGATAAGGTAGTCTGGTATTTTACCATACAAATAGAGTTATTCTACTCACCTTGTGAACCTAGCTACTACACGGCTAGTTACACAGCAGCAGGCCATAAACTAAGACACTTGTCTAATCTATTACTGTGCTCAGTCACCAGCAAGCAGGAACATGGGTACGTGTGTTGTTCCACATACACACCACACTCTCTAAATAAAGTAATACAGCATTTAAATATACATTATGTAGAAAAATAAGAATTATATTAATCCTCAACTAGCAGTCTGGGGACAAAATATCTTGTGAGAATTTCCCTACAATATGTTCGCAGCAAGGAGGCATATGAAAGAGGAGGAAATGATTTGTACAGATTTACCCACTCTTCCTAGCTTACCTTTTTCCGATTAGCTGGTGACAAGCTTCGGTAGAGCTTCTTGCCTTGCTTGCCGGCATTCCAAATGGTGAATGATGTCCAGGAGCTGAGGACTCTGTCTTCAAGAAACCTGACTCGGTGATTCCAAATGGTTCCCCTGAAGGGTTAGAAAAGGAGAAGATTTTGATCCCCAAAACTTTTAGCATTATTCTATACCTATATGCATATAGACACAACACATTTAAGATTCATTAATTAGGAACTTCTCATCCTTGAACAGTTTTCTAGATACAATAAATTGATTTCCTCAATTTATGGCTTGACTGGGTGAATATTTCTTATCTACATCTCTTGAACAAGGTACCCTGACTTGAAAATGCCTGTCATAGGTAATTCTGATAAACACCTAATTGCCTTTCCTTTCTGAAAGCACTTCTTCAAAGAGTTTTCCCCATTTGCTTTATCATGACAGAACACAACACACTTCGTGAGAATTGTTACAACTTGTTCTACAATTTGTAATACATCCCCCCTGATCCAAGAAATGAGATGTTGGAATTAGTTAAAGCAGCACCAGAAAAAAAACCAATCCCTAGTAGTTTTCTGTGAGATCCTAAAGCTGCCAATGGTTTTCTTTGTCTTGGGAAGCACGCAGTTTTCCTACCAATACCCCTTCTCCACAGTTCAACCTTGAGCTTCAGTGTCGTCCGACTATATCAAGGTAGTATGGAATTTAAACACCAAAATACTCAAAGACTATGTTGTTTTTTCCTGTTTCAAGTAAGACTTCTGATTCATGAGTCAGCACAGGTTATCACACAGCAGCTACTGTGAACTACTTCAGATCTGTAAGTGCAGCAGATTTTATAGGAAAATCAAAATCTATTCAACTGTTCTGGATATTAAGGATCTAAACTGTCCAGGTGGGTAGGCAGACAGGAACAACTACAGGGATGCTGCTGTCAGTCACATCAAAATCTATTCAACTGTTCTTGATATTGAGGATCTAAACTGTCCAGGTGGGTAGGCAGATAGGAACAACTACAGGGATGCTGCTGTCAGTCACCTGTCAGTGACCTGCTGTCAGATCACCCACCCTTATCCATGGATCAGTCTGCTCCTCCTAGTTGCAGTTCAGATTATCCACAATCCTGTTATCATTACACCAAGTTTGGTTCTATTTCATAAGTAAAAATACATGGGCACGATGGCTAGAGATGTCTGATGGCCCAGCACTGCAGTAACATCTGACTTCTATGAAACAGATTATCAAATTTCACAAAGTCCTGGACCAGATTTATTATTCCAAATTATTCCTTTGAAATACACCTCTGAGGTACACATATAATATTTGAGGTTACTGAGATTAACAGGTAACCAAATTTGTTCCCAAAAGTCTGTTACAAACCTCTCTAATATTTCAATAAGAATTTTGTGTTTTTATTTGCATCATTCCTTCACAACCCTGAGCTCTGGTTTGAGGAACATGCACCCCTCATCGTACTACATACACAGATTCCTGCTGGGATTATTAGTGAGCTCCAGAGAGCCCACTTCAGCGTGCGAGCTCTGAGCACAGCCAAATCCTGCTTAGCACCTCATCACTGATCACAGTGCGATAACTTGGAAAGAACTTGACACGCAAATGGACGTACCCAGGAAGAACAGCTACTCCATATAAAATTTCCACACCATTTTGAGGACTGCGGCCATGCACCAGCACTTCGACTAGTGGAGGAAAAAAGATCTTGGATTGGATTGCAAATCCCTCCTAATGCAACCACAAGCTACATTCCTGCTGCAAAGCTTTAGCTGCTGCTGGCATCCTTTGACACTTGCCTTTTTCCATATACATTAGAGCATACTATATTCCCAGAAGGAAAGTTAAACGAAAGACATATGAAGGACAAGTATTTTTCCAGGATCACTTTACTGGAAATTTTTGAGCTTCTGCTAGATTCTAAAAAGGAATATTACTGCTTTACACGTAAATGGAAAGGTTTTAAAAGTGATTTTACTTTGAAATGTAACTTCAGAAGGATAACATTCCAGGGGTACTTCAGAATCTGCTCTGTTGAGTGACACCAGCAAGTTTCTTTTCCACTTGAGTTTGCGAAGTAAAGAAAGCTGAAGAAAAAATAGGCAACCGTACAAGGTATAAAAGGAATTATCAACTATTAGTTGTAGGGTAAACACTGGAATCTCTACATCCAGGCACACACAAAACGTTTCTAATTGTCATGGAGATGTCCCCGTACATGCAGTATTGATGGCTTCCAGACAATATGCATTTGCTGCCTAGGTGATCGGTGACTATGTTCCACACAAGTCCCCACAGAGGTAAAATTCAAGCAGACCGATTCTCATTGCTGGAAATCATCCACAAAGATTTCAGACTGAAACAAGTTTACTGACTCAATCTTATCTATAAATATTATATTGAGAAATGTGAGTGGGGAAAGCACCTAAGGGAATTTCACTCAGAAATGAAAGGATATGAAAGTTATTACACCCCAAATTAACTGGATCCTTGTTCAAATACAAATACAGACAGCTTTATCTAAGCACCAATAAACTGCTTTCTTAAACACCTATTTTGGGTTGTGACAATGAAGCCAATATATACCCAGCACTTGTGATTTTTCGCTTGCATCACTCTTTGTAGTCTTGAGTTAACCTTGAAATACTTTTAACAGTACAAGCCAAGATCATCAGTTCATCATAGAACTAAGGGGATAATTTGTGAGTGAGCTTTAGGGTGACAATCACAGACTTAATCTTTGTGAAATCTTGCTCTGCACTAACAATACATCTCGTGTTGAAACAAAAAGGTGTCAGAAGGAGGAGTTTCAGTTGCCCCCTTCAGGTTTCCAGTTCACCTAATTTGCCGTATTTTTGATGTTTCCTGAATAGATAACTGGGATTCCTGCCTTGAGGGATAAGGGAATGCCATTTTCCCATCCTTTAAGAGCCAGTGCAGGTGCAACAGGCAGGAACTGTAGCAACGTGCAAAGGATGATTAAAGAAAATGCCTGAAACGATCTAGAAGTTGTACAAACCACTGCTCAGAGATGATTCTCACAGCTATTTTCAGATTTTGCATTATTACATATTCATAGCCACCAGCAAAACCCAGGAGGTATCATTGCTCTGCATCATCCCAATGAAAGCTGCTTTTCCTACCCATGTCAGGAAGGATTAAAGTAAGCACTTTCCCCATAGCCTTTCATTTCATTGCCTGTATGGAGTTAACAAGGTTTTCCTCAGCCTCAAGGTGGGATACACATTCTTCTGACTGTAGAGTTTGCTCCCACATCCTAATACTCCTTCTGCACCCAAAGTCTTAAAGTACATTATTCTTCCCATTTCTTTAATTTCCTTGTTGCTTTTTACTTTACTCAGAAGTATCTATTTTTCTACTTGGAAAAACATTCTTATGGCTTACAGAATTTTCCTAAGATCTCACTTGCTATGGCCCCTCAATACTCATCAGTTAGGTAGTCTGCAAGGAAGAAGAGGAGCCAAAATTCTGCAGGAGTGAAACGAGGGTATTCATGAAGTGGGTGAGAATGATTATGAAGTGTGGTGTTCCTCAGTCCCAAGTAGTTATTACCATACCATCCACCCAAGTAACAATGGAGCTCTGTTAAAATGTGTTTTGACCTACTGACTGAATACAGGAGTCTAGAAACATCTGCTCCACTCCTATTTTGAAATGAAAGATAATGTGACAATAAAAGCTATATGATTTAATGTCTGAGCTCAGTGAAACCTCGCCATATTGCTTGACTGCCTTTCCCCTCCTTCCCCCAGTGAGGCTACATAAGTGAATCAACAGAGCAAAGACAGATGTACAAGTACTTGAGAAATGCACAAATACAAGCCAAATATCCTAAACTGTGCTGGAATTTCAGGCATTGATTACCATTCACGGTAATACCATAAATCTGTAGATCTGACCTTTTCTATATGCATTGGTCCCACATGCCACTCAGGTAACACCAGACAGGAAGAGGAGCTATTCAAACGAATGGCCTCTTCCACTGCCTTTTTATTCACAGCAGGGTAACAGAGTTCTCTATCTTTGGTGAACCTCACCTGATAGATAAACCAGAGGTGGAAGAACAGAGAACTTCTTAATCACAGTGAGAGCTAAAAGAACAGATTATAGCCAGCTTTGCACGCAGAATTCAAGGTTCTTGCAATCCACAGGAAATTCGGGAATGAATCCCATTTGAACCTTGTCCATACTGGTAAATAAACTGGATTTTTTTGGTCGCTGTTGTTCCGTTGAACTTCATGTGAACTTATTAATTGCTGGACTGTATCATTCCACTGAGTTATTACATTTACACTGTGTTAATAGGTTCTATTAATGTCCGAGTTCATCTTCAGGTCATGGGTCATTAACTGAGGCATGGTTTGCATTGTGGCCTATTTTTCATGAAAGGCTTATTAAGAAAGACAGAGACTATCAATGTTAATGCCATTTACTTTTCAAGAATCTAATGAGGTCATTAGTTTCCATGTTTAATTGAAGTGCCAAACGCAAGCATAGATGATAAAAATGCAGTTGACCTCATCTTCATTTCAGTTGGGCAAGAATATGTTACACTATTCCTCTCTTGCCTATTTTGGGATGTTTTTGCAGGAAATGAAGCAGGCGTTCCTGTGCTCATCAGCGATACGAGACCCATGCCTCAGAGTACCTCTGAAACAAACAAATACATGCTTCAGATCAAGTGCCTGTTCCCCTTCACTTAGATGACACTGGAAGCTTCTAATGCCTGAAACCAGATGGTTTCAATAGATGATGTAATTTTGGTTATTTCTGCAGAACAAGCTCTTACAATATTACACTTGCTCTGAATGCACAGCATATGAAATTACTGTGAGTCTTGTAAAGGCACTTCACATTTGCTGCATAAAAGGAAACTGCCCGAATCTCAGACAGAAGGTACAAACCTTATTGTCTGCATGTATTCAATTTCTCTTGACCAGAAGCTTGTAAACTGTGGCAAAGATCAGCTATCTGCCCCAACTGCCTGTCTTCATACGCAATACTACCTAAAGACAAGCAGTGATATTGCTCATGCTGTTCCAAGCTAGCTTTCATCTTGCAATGAGGTACATTGTTTTATATACAGTTCCCTTTTTCTCCCCTTGATAAGATAAAAATCTATGAATTTTACAATGTTTCTATTATACACCAAACTTTTTTTCTATAGTACTCACACTATAAAGCCAGCTCTTATATTGTATCAAATCAGTGTAATGTAGCTGTGTAGCACAAAGTACACACAGCCCTAGGATACAAGCTGTAATGTGAGATAAAATGATTTAGATCTAAAAGATACAATATGTGTGTTGTAAATTCCTGGCTGAAGAGAAGTTTCTCAAAACTTACACTGCTCACTCCCACTGAGCAGGTATCCATGATAAAGTTTAGATGAAATTACAATGAGAACGGTTATATTTCTGTATGCACCTAATGAAACCTAAATATAGACACTGCACTTCATCCAGATTCTGTCACACACCCAAACATTTAATAACATGGTCTGATGCCTCCAGGGTAAGGGAGAATGCAAATAAGATCTCGTTTCCTGCTTCACAGATACTTTCACCTCTAGGTATTTGTTCCAGAAGGATACTAATCATAGGAAATGACCTGAAAATCATTAGCGTTGACAATTATACATACTAAAGAACTAAACGCTGCTTGGCAAGCAGCTTTATAGATATTTTAGGAAGTCTGAAAATGCGAAAATCAGGCATTTTTTCCCCTGAACAGTAATGAAAGACACTCAAAATCTGCCCGTAATAGGCTACAAGTGACTGTTGTCTTTGCAGGAAGGATTGAATCACGTGCCTTTTCTATAGACAAGTCCTATTAACAACTCTAGTTTTCTAAGATTGAAACTAGGCATAAACTGATACTAAAGATAGATAAATAATCAAGTTTCCTATAAGCATCACTTTGATTTCAGACAAGATATCAATCTAGTTGGTGAGTCAGTACTCCCAAATCCAGCTCTCCACCAATTCTGAAAATTCAAAGACAACATAGGCCAATGGCAAAAGGAAAAATGCCACAGAAGACTGCTCAAAGCACATCATAAAAAGAAGACTTCTGGAAAAGATGCATTAAATAAGGTGGGGCAACCAAAAAGCAAAGCAGGAAAGACCAGATACAAATTATAAGCTTAAACCTTTGTGATGAGCCCATTGATTTCTTTTTGCTCAACACTCACCTCAGTCTTCAGAAACAAATACTGGCCAGCCCTGCTCGACTTAGGCAACAAACAGGGGAACAAGCCAACAAGGAGAGATGTTACACAACCTTATACTGAAAGTGTGCACAAAATGTTAATTGCAGCAGTACCAGCATGAAGCTGAGAGGAAGAATGGCTATCCTGACTTCTTAGAATGAGACGGCAAAGGCGCCAATTTGGACATCCAAGCTGCACATCTGAAACAGCTTACAGTATTTCCACATTCTCGCAGTATGTTGTAATTCAGGGTGCTTGTGCCACACAACCTTGTAGATCTGAATAAGCAACAGCTTGCAGTAAATTCAAAACAAACTCATTTCCAAGAATAAGATGCTTTCCCACAGACACATGCAACAGGCTTCCAAGAGTTCGAGCATCCCATGATGCGTGGCTGAAAAGCTTGGAACTAACTGCCAAAATGATCACACACCAAAAGGGGGAAAAAAAGCCCCTTACATTTAAACACCAATAAAAGGCAAAATAATTCACCTCATATCTGTCTGTAAAATGCAAATAATATCTTCCATTTGCTTGGAATGACTCTTTCAGACTTAAATGATTTTATATACATATGTGGTATTTATGCTTACTATGGTATTTACAGTAATACAATATTGTGATATACAACTAAAATGCACACAAAAATGTTTAGTTTCACTAGCCAGTTCTACAAAGCTGTACAAATAGGACTAAAAAGTGTGTTTATATCATTAATCAGTAAGAATACTGTTCACTTAATTACTACCATGATTCTGGAATGGGACCCCTAAAGAGCAGTGAAACTTGCATAATCTTTCACCAGTGCCAATGAGCAAGAGAAAGATACAACTTTGGCTCAGCTTGCAGGACATCCGATCACAACAAACACCTTGATGGGTGAAATGAGCATGTACTGGAACAAGCAATCCACAATTTAATGTGTTCTGCAAGGCAGGCCAGCACTGTAAAAGCAGTAGGCAACAGCTTACAAGGAAGCACCTGAGATAATTACTCCTAAACATCCTCAGGTGTATTTCAAACATCCTTATCTGATTTAGATGGTTTAGACCTTTTAAAAAAGGAAAATAATATATGTAAATGCAGCACATTATCAGATGAAAAGTTTAGGCTTGTTTGGTTATTTTTCAAAAGGAGGTTTCTGTTGGTAGTGCAAGTTTCTGTTTACTTCTTTCAAACTGAGACAGTTCACTTTGAAATTAGGCTGTAAAATTAAAATGATTTTTTTTTTACATTATGGTTCACATGGCAAAAAACAGGAGAATCAAATCCCTGCACATTAAAAATCCCAATAAAATTTTACCGCTATGATATATTTCAAACACATTCTTGCAACTGTGTTCAAAGTATTGGAGAAGTTACTGCTTCACTGCTTGCTTTTGCCATGTGCAGCAGATGAGACACATAATCAGACAAAAGTATTCTTAATCTGCTTTGAATGTAAGAAACTCAGATGCTTTAGATAACCAGCAAGGGTATTCAGGCAGATCCCAGGATCTCACATGCTCAGCTACAGAGCCTCAGCTAAAGCAATGGAAGTACTCCTGTAATGCAGTCCCAAAAATGCTCCATGGCTCTTATGATACCTGTTGTAAAATTATTTCAAGAACAGTTGCAAAGATGAGACAACAACTTAGCATATTTGTCCAACGTTAACATGTCAAATGTTAACTCCATCCCAGCCTCATGACATCATTAAGCCAGGTACACTGACAGCGCGTGGGCAGCAGCATCTGCACCAAGATTTCAGTTCAGCTTTTCAAGTACAGCATTACAGTATGTTACTCAAAAAACAAATTACAGCAACACCACCTTACACCAAAGAGGGTACTACCAAAATATTAAGTCATGCTTGTTTTCTAGCCTCGTTTTAAAAAACTAGCAAGTCATTAAACTCAAACTGGTAATTATTTTGCCATGTGATGCCTTGAAGAGACTACACATCTTTGCTGCCAATCATCCAAGATGAAGCTAAGCTTTAAGTTCTACCAAGACAATGCAACTTACTCTAGGACGGAGTGAGTAGCAGCCTGTGGATGGTAACGGTACAGCAGGAGGCAATGGTTTACTCGAAAGACTTCGCCACCGTTTTGGATATGTTTATAGAAAAACAACAGATCTTCTGGAACACCCTGGAAGAGAAGCAGTTATTTCAGACTAGGAAGTGACCAGCAGTCATACTTACATGTGAAGACCCTTCTTATTTTTCTGCCACATGAATAAAGTTTAACATCATTTTATCCATATTTTACCCATGTGTCTATAAAGTTGTCTAATGGATCATTAAATAAACATAGCTGTAGAAAAGATAAAGCTACTGAAAAACAAGCAGTGCTATTTAAAAATTAAGTACAGCTGACCACAAGGACAGAAGGGGAAAAATAAACACCATCTCATTTCGACATGGGTATAAAGCTTGGTACAGGTCAGTCCCAAAAGAGAGAAACCAGCTGCTGAACAGTTCATGAAGCCTCAAGTGCCACACAACCAAACAGCTCACTGAAAGGGATCAGTGACTTCAGAAGAGTGCTTTCTGGTGTTACCAATGTTCTTTCTCTGATTGCCATACAAATACATATACTGGACTCTACTTAGGAAAGGTGAATCAGACCCCATACTAAGGAACCTTAATAAAAACCTTAATTAAAGCATGACACGACTTCTGAAAGTAAAACTTTTTTCTTGCCACTTATTTCCATGATACATTCTTCCTAATAGAATTGCAAAGATTGTTGCTGAGACACTGCAAAAAACAACCAGCCCCTCATTTCCTAGAACTGTGGCTCTGTCAGGCTCTAATAAGAGATTTCATGATGAGATGCAACATTTCCCACCTAAAAATCAGAAAATCTTCATGCCAGAGACACAGTGTCAGATGGCCATCTTACAGCACATACTATTCCATTACTCATCATAAGCATAAAGCCACCTTTAAAGATATAGCCCTATAATGGAAGTAAAGTAGTACCATCTATTTTGCAATGGTGAAACTTCTTGAAATACGGCTAGAACTTTTAATTTTTCTATGTTTAAATACAGATTTTTCTTTGCTCCAACCTAACATGATTTTATCAGGCTAAGGATCTCTGCTAAGTAAATCTGGGCCAAATAAAATATTTAAGTGTAGCATCAATAACAAGCTGATAGATAACATTAGAAACCTGAGATGGAAAAGATACTCAAATACATTTCTTCTGTAGGCAGTATCACATACATGAACAACAGAGGCATAAACATCAACTTAGGTATCTTAGTTCAATATAGAAAAATAAGAGCACAATAAATAAATTAACAAAAAACTGGCATTTTTTTTTCCCCATTACCACAACTTCTGAGTTTCTTCCATAATTAAGAAAAGGAGATTCTCCAATTAAAATGCTGGAGACAAAATCCCTCTGTGGTTCCCTCTGGCCTTCTCGTTACCAGAGCAATACAATTCAAGACTGTTCCTCATACCCACACCAGACTGAGCAGCCGAGGGGGTCTGGGGAAGGGAGGAGTAATGAGACCAAGAAAGCTTCGAACCCTGGAAAACAAACCTGAAACACTCAATTGAACATATGTATTTTGGGAGAAATTAGAACCAAATCAAGCTCTGTACTTTGCAGCCCCAGACTTTACTACATGATAGATTGATTTAAGATACTGAATTGGGCCACATTCCCAGATTCTGAATACCATGGATCCTGATATGACTGCTTGCAAAGGGCAGGGTATCTCTAGCTATCGGTTGTCTTTGTAGATACTGGTCTGACTTCCAGATTAAGAGCTGCAATGCAGAAGCAAACTTTTGGAGAACCTTATAAAACTTGTGCTTTGTATGAACCTACTTGGAAAGCCACAGAAGAAATCTGGGGGAAGCTGGAGGGGCAGACAGCAACCACAGTCACTGAGAACACAAAAACACCACAAACTCAAATTCTTTCCATTTATCTTGCAGCCCTTTCTTATTTTGGTCTTTTTCTTATTCTGGACTTCAACAGAAATACTGAGAGTCTGCAACAAAGTTTAAACCTTTTCTCTCACATTAGACTGTGAGAGGCAGGGCAGAAATTCTGTAGCACATATCAGCTACTGCAGTAGTCATATTTTGATTCAGATATATTATTATATCACATCCATATGTGCAATTCATTTTCTTTTGGATAACCATTTACATTATTCAAGAAAACCATCAGCAAGTATATTAGTAAAGAGAGTTACAGCAGCAGAGGTCTTTCAAAATGCTGTTTGTTTCTGAGTGCATTTTTGCTTTCCATCAGCCAGCAGAAATCCTTTCAAATGCAGTCTGCTCACCCCCAGGAAGGAGCAGGTGCCTTGTACTGCTCAGCAGTGGCCTCTCGCATTACAAAGGAGCAGCCCTGCCATGCATTTTTCAGGGGAGGGAAGATGTTGACTGTGTTATAGATCCTGCAGGGATGGGACTTCCTACAGCTCTTGAGCGTGTAAGTTTGTTGCAATACAAGAGTTTCTTCCCAATTGAGACGTATTATTGGATCCAGATAGCATTTTAGACACCAGGAATCTTTGCCAAACAACACAATTTTCAAAGAAAAAGCTGTTTAGCCACTAAAGGGATAATTTAATGCATTTTGGGAAAATTAATATCCATAGCTGAAAACACCAATTTAACAAGGCAGCATTTCAGCAACAGGCTACTACACAAACAGTTTCAATGTTAATAAATACAAATTGCACAGCTTACATGTTACTGGACTATATACACAATTTTCCACGTTACAAGCAAAAGCCAACCCTAGATGATCTGCAGCACTAAAGGAGAAACTCACTGGCCTGCTTCACTCAAGGGTGTGATCATAAGCTGCTGATTGCAGTTCCTGGTGAAAATCACTGCTGGTTCTAACCAGCATGCACAAAATGAACATCCACTTCAACACTAAATAAGTGAAGGATTTATGATTACTCAGTATTTTGGGCAGGTATCACTCGCTGTACTGATGGTTAATGTACTGATTAATGTACATTAATCCTGCATACACAATGGCTGTCAAACAGAATCTACCTTGAATCAGAGTAGTTCCTTGTTCATGGACCAAACTAAATAATGCATTATTCTTCTCTTGTCATCTTCTCACTGCTTTCCATTTCTCACTCTTAGCAGATGGCTGTGCATGAAACACTACTCCAACTGCAGCATCCTCAACATACATACCTGACAAGGAGATGCAAGCCACCTACCACTACAACAAGTAATTCTGGCTACAGCTTTTGGAGCTGCACCATCAGTAACGGCGAGGAACATCAGTAGGGATAAAGATACTAAGCAATTTTTGGAGGACTTTTAATGACAGTGGTCTTCTGTGCAATGCTGTAACACCTGGTGAGAGATCATGTTGTAGCTGTGGGACAACCAACAGTAACTACTGCAGAAGTCTATTTTTTTGGGTCACCAGAACGGAATTTATTATTAGGCTGTACAGGCATTAGCACAGTGCAAGAGCTGCCTTTTAATGCTAAACCTAATACAAGAGATTGGTTATGCCACAGAACAGAACCAATCTGTTCCAACTTCCTCACCCATTGCTCTCCTCTCCATTCAGGCTTCTCTCACTCATCTCTGACATGTGCTCTTCCCCTGCCCTCTTCTTGCTGACAGGCCCTGTAGGAGGGCAGATCCTTGTGAGCAAAAAAATCAGTGGAGATTCAGCCAGTGGAGATTTCACTCTAACTAGAGAAAGTGGGAAATCAAAAACTGAATCAAGAATACGTGCATTTATAACAAAAAGCGATGACAAACAAGACAAGGGGAGTAAATCTACCTACACATGAAAAAATTTCCCTTTAGTTTGGGAAAGCTGAGCCCCTCCTCTTGATCACAGGCATCAAGGAAAACTGGGCTATAACTTGGCATAATTTGGAAACCAGACAGTGACATCAGGATAAGTGTTGGGTAGAATAAGCCACACTGTTTTAACTCCTCAGAGGAGCCTAAAATTGGTGAATGGAAAGAAAATCAGAAAGGAAGCAACTTTTGATTCCATACTAACTCATACCTTACAGGACTTTGAAACAGTTTGTTTATATTTTTTGAACCAACTCATTTCATACTGCATATTTTAGAATATCCATTAAAAAAAGATTAAAATGTCAGTATTAATATTATGCTAAAGTTGCATAAAAAGGGAGATCAGATGGTGTATATTACAACATCTAAGATTGAACAGGAAAAAAGTTCTAAACTCAGGGTCATTTAGCAACAAAGCAGACATGTTGACTAAAGAAATCAAAGTACTTCTTTTTAAATACATATGCCAACATCTGCCCAGCAGCATTTCCTCAGAGCCTTGAGCTAAATCCTACAGAAATAACACATACAGAGGGGTTGGTTGCGTGGAAGTGAACACAGACACCCTATGTAAAAGGAAGTACTCCTGCCTCAGAAACAAATGCTATTCTGGCAGGCATTGAACTCTCACTCATCAGCAAACATGGTTCAGTGTGCTGCTCATGGGGAACAGCTACTAAGCTGCTGAACCTAAAAGTAAGAAAGAAATTCCTCTCCAGTTTAAATGTAAAGGTGAAAAAATACAGGAACTAAAGTAATTTATCAAGAATCATCCACTCTTTGGTCTTTCCCTAAAGACAAGTCTTATATTAAATGTCAATCATATTTTCTTTGGTAATGAACACCACCACACTGAAGTTATGAACTGAAATACTCGCTAGTTTAACTTCCTTTAGGATAGTCACCAGAGGTATGCAAGCAGACTAATCACAAGCTAACTCCATAGATATTAATAGCTTCTTTGCAGGGTTATCCAACATATTTTAAAGACTCTTTGTACAGATGTCACTTCATTTTTTTTTTTGGTTCCCATCCAAATTATGTCTTTACATCATTTTGCCTTGATTGCAAGACCTGAAGCCTGTAACATTTCTTTCGTTGTTTGGGAAATGACAGGTTAGAGGAAATTCCAAAGATTGCTTTCATCCAAACGTATTGTCACAGAGAAATTCAGTTAAACAATGATGACAGTGAAGTCAAATGGAAGGGAGGTGGTAAATTCTAAATGGTTTTTAATAACAGACTAGCAGAAAAATGTCATTAGACAAGAGAAATAGGGTGGATTTTCAAATAGCTTATAAAGTGTAATTAATCATTGCCTCTACCACTCTTTCCTTTTCACATCAAATACTGATCTCTGTTCAGCCTTAACTATACCAAAGCTAAAACACTAGTGCCTGTGTTTCATCCAGATTTTTCCCCAGAGCACCTTGATAGGTTATTTGACAGACTGACTGTAATTTTAATTCATATTCTAAGAAAACAAATTCCTACTTAGCCTTTTACCTTTCAGGCAGTATTGTAACTGCTTGCCTTTCTGGAGGGAATGACATTTGTGTGCTCTGGCAGAGAAGAATGGAAAAATCCATTAGTTAGCACCTACTAACCTAGCAAAGTTATTTTAGAGCTTTGCAGCATGGGCTACTGTCTTCTGTGCACCAATGGATATTTTGCACCAATGGATATTTTGACACCTCCCCAATCTGTGCTTTTTGTGACCATTTAATCACAAAAATAGATCAAAATTGAGCTCCAGACACTGGCTGGAGCCACAGTTTGTATTCAGAAAGGTCAGTAGCTTATAATACACTAATCCAGCCTGGGCTCTTTATCTGAATCAGTTGCTACTTCTTTCAATGAGGACGCACTGCATTCTTCATCTGAATCAGCTGGACAACAGGAAGATTATTTCTCATCAGTTTCCTAAAAAATTAAGTCAGAAATAGGCTCCTGTGACTCTCCTCCTAGCACTGGGTACTATTTAAAAGTTACTTTATAGGCTTGTGCCCATTTCTATTGTATTATCTTCATCTCAGTTAAGCACTTCTGCTTTAATTCTCATGTATCGGCAGTTGTATAAATAAAACCTCTACTATTTTAGTTAATCAATGCATAAAGCAAACCTGTCAGGTTCTTAGCCACCATTTATGAAGATACTATTTAGGATTTGGCTTGGACATTGCCACAGTGATTACACAAAAGGAACACGTTTCCAGCAACTGAAGATCTTGACCAGAAAGAACTTTATTTCCAAAACCATTTTGTATATATTTGTTAAAAATCTGTTTCATGTAAAGCCTGGATGGAGATACATGCAAACGTGCACACCTACCTGCAGGAAAAAAAGGATTACATCATGGCTTATATATTTCTATTCTATCAGTCCATCCATACTACTAACATAAACATCAAATCACAATTTCTTCCATGGAAGAATTATCCTCCTTTTGTCCTAAGCACTGAAATATGAAGAACAGGTGTTTGGATTTAATTCCAAATGAGAAATGCAGCTTTTTGGCATGGAAACAGCTTAGCAAATGGAGAAGGCTGAAATGTGGAGATTTGTTGGCCTGTTTCTGTGTTTACTTGCAGCAATAAGACACTTACAGGTCACTCTGTTAAATCCTAACCAATAGTGGAGATGGAAGTGATCACATTAACATAGTCAGATCATGGGTCAGGTCAGAACATACACACACAGGTAAGATCCTCAGGAGTCTCAGTATTAGTTTATAACAGCTCTGATGATACACAGAGAAAAATCTTTGCTTGCCTCAAAGGAATTCTTTTCAAATTAAAATGAATGAGTTAGATCAATGCTAAATATGGTGATAAATGCTGAAAGAGTTAGGACTTGATTTTGCATCCCCTAAACCCACACAGGACAAAGGTTTGACTTCATTGCTTTGTTAAGATCTGTCATCAACCCTGTCCACAGGGTACTTTCTGAAGGTCCTCTGTATCAGCCAGTTTGAGTATTGATATGCTGGACACTTCACAACAGGGACAAACAAAAAGTTCAACTCATCACTGGTAATTTTTAAAACTAGAAGCCACACCATGCATTGTGGCTGAAAAATCATTAGGATTAAGACTCTTCAGTGAAGAACCTGTACCGATACAGCACAACAAAAAAAACCCCACAAAAATCAGGACAAAGAGAAAAAACCCCAAACCTAAAAGCACAGAACAATAGCCTCTTTAACTTAACATCTTGAACTACGAATTGGAATGGTGTTCAATTGTTGTTACTGTGTTTTAGTCTTCTTGCTTTCTTCTTTGAGCTTAATAACAATGCTCAAGAAGTCAAATGTTCTTCAGAGGGTGAAAATACAGTAAGTAATAATAATAAAAAGGAAATAAAGAGCATGGGTCAGTGGATGTGGATTGTATTGGGAGCCAGGCACCATTCCCACCTCGTTCCACTCACCTACCCTGCAATGAAGGACAAATCTTTTCACTGCTCTAAACAACTCTGTTCTCTGTCTGCTGCCTTCTGGAACCATGTTTTTGTTGGCAGCCCAAAGAACAATATTTTTATATCCTCATGCATACATATATACATGTGTAGGTATGTTTGTGTGTATATATACACACTGCATGGCACAGGAGGGCTTCATTTAGAGGCTATAAAAAGAATAATAATCATAATCTGTTGTAGCTGAAATAATAACATAGGAAATAGTGTTAGCAGAGGTTTTTTTTTAGACTAGAATTGCTATTAAAATGAAAGCATTTCCATTCTACTCCTAAAATCCCACTAAAACCATGGGAAGCAAAACCTTTCAGGTCCAAAACACACATAATGGATCCAAATGTGTCTGAATTAGGTCTCTTTGCCAACATACTTGTAGTAATACCACAATAAGTACCACCAACAGGCATCCCTGGATTTTATTTCATAAAGATGCTGATGAGCCTGAAACAACCAAATGGAACTCATACAGGAAACTTTTAGATCAAAAGAACACCTAACTATTCATGCAGGAATACTTCTCTGATAACAGTTGTTTAATTTGTAACCTCTCAGTCCTGATCCTTGAGGAAAAGCTACTTAACATCCTAAAAGGCTAAGCCTTAGAACTCAGATTGACAACTGGATGCAAGACAAGTGGATAAAGATTTAGTAGTTTTACGGCACTTTGTGACCTTTCCTCCTCCCTTCTTTCTTCATCTTAGGGACATACATTTTTCCCCCTAGGACAATGTATTACCATCTTTTTGCCATCCTGCACCTTTCTTCCCTTCCAGTCTCTTTCCCCAAATCTACCTTACTTTTCAGAGATGGTTCATTTGGTTCATAATGAAACCATGAAATCTTGAGCTTTCAGATCTATTGCATCTATTTCAGGGACTGAAGAGGAGCTTGAATGTCTGAGTCCTCCTTTAAGTTTTCCAGGTATGCCGACACGTCTACCAAAGGTGTTAGCTCTGCAGCCCACCCCAGTTGTGTCTTTCAATCACCAGAGTTGCCCCAAACCAACTGCACTTGTTTGTTGTTGTTCTTTTTTAAAAGAAAGGTATATGGTATAACTCTGATTTTTTCAGACCTCAGTTTTTACCTATACCCCCTTTGCCTAGTGCTTCTTAGTAATAAGTTTAGGGCTTTCAGAGGCTGGTGACCAAAGAGATGATTCCTGGATTATGTATCATCCATAGCACTCACCTTTCCACCCTCATCAAATTTTCCCAGATGAAAAAACCATTCTCGAGAACAGAACCAGGTTGGCATGATCACAGTAGGTCCATGGGAGGTAAACACCTAGGGAAAAGGGAGAAAAAGCCAGTATTAGTTACCAGACTGTCAAAATCCAACATCTGTTGGGGAACAAAGTAGACTTACTACATTCACCTGAAATCCTGACAATACTCATGCCTAAACTTAATCTTCAGCAATATTAAGAACTGAGAAACTCAAGTGCTTAAAATTTAGCATGTGCTTAGTGTTTAAACTGTGGTGTCACAGCCAAGAGATTAGTCAACTTCCAGCTTCATTAGACAGAAGGAAGTTTTTCCCTGTGAGGGTGCTGAGGCGCTGGCACAGGATGCCCAGAGAAGCTGTGGCTGCCCCATCCCTGGCAGTGTTCAAGGCCAGGTTGGACACAGGGGCTTGGAGCAAGCTGCTCTAGTGGAAGGTGTCCCTGCCCGTGGCAGGGGTTGGAGCTGGGTGATTTTTAAGGTCCCTGCAAACCCGAACAATTCTATGATTAACATTCCATAACCTTCTCTTCTATCCTAGGTTGCAGCACATGCAGAATACTTCAAACTTTATTTCAGATTTAGAGAATTATACTGGAAATGACCTTCTATTAATAATGGCAATATTGATATTGAAGTCAATGAATTAAGAAGAATCTTAAAAAGGTAAAGTTCTTAAGCTTAACCCAGATGAATCTCAAGCTCCCCTTCCAACCTGGTTTTCTACGATTCCTTATACATTTATTGAATAGGGACTTTCACTGATCTTTTATTTCTGCCAAAGACACTTAAAATCTTAATCAACGTCAGCCAAGTAAGATGCAATTGGATTTAAACATTATGGATTTGCTTGCTACCCAGTGGTACCTACCTTAAAAGGTTGTTGGAAAGAAAATGCTGTAGGGACTGAAAAGGGAGATGCTATTAATTACATTCCCTTGACTAGTGACAGCTAAGAACTACACAAACTGGTCTTTGCAGCTTTAAGCAAACGTGTTGTAAACACAACTGTGAAATGAACCAGAATCTGGATTAGGGAAGGTAAACTGGTTCTTTCTTTTGTTCTCAGATGAAGTATCTGGCCAAACAAGAGACTGAACTTGTCAAACAGAATGTGTGCAGTTAAGCCAGGAGACTGCCTGCTTCCAAGAACTACAGAGGAAATAAAGAGCTTCTGCCTCCATGAAGGCAGAAGAAACCTCACAATTACTGCCATCCTCCAAACACTAATGAACACATTCATCTTACGAGCAGGTGAATTCATACCATGCTCTGGTGGTAATATTAATATTCCTGTACAGTTGGCATTTTTAAACATCAGCACATGAATGTACATTTTGACATGTGCATCCAAGCATTTACATTTTAAAGATGCTCCTCTTGACTTTAACCTGGGATAGAAATCCTTACATTCTTCTTATGCCTGGTAACTTCCATTTCCACAGATAAACGTGGATTTAAAACCCAGATTTTACACACCCAGTTCTATACAGACCAACCCTCCAAAAAAAAGGGATTAAAAATGTAATCAAAACAGAACAATGATCTACTCCCACTTATTGCAGGAACCATCCGATCAGACACAGGCATCCATGTTAGGGTGAAGACACTGCATGCTAACCCCTGGAACATAATGATAGGACTTCCCTGTCCGTAAAGCACCCCTTGGGTGACCCATCTTGACACAGACACTTAAGTTTCAGGCAGTTGTATTTAGTCAGAAGAATCCAGTCACTTAATGGCTACCATTAACACACTAGCAGCTTGAGCATAACTGAAATAACACTAGATTCAGAGGTGCTAAATGTCAAAATCACCCCCCCCCAAAGTCAGTGGGAGCTGAAAGAGACAAAAAACCAACCCAGAAAATCAGAGCAAACATGATTACTCAGCACATGGTTATTAGCTCCACACTAATTACAAGGCTGATTGAGTACGGCCTGAACCAAACAATGACCAAACAGTAATCCCAAAAGAAAACAACAGTAGAAAGAAAAGCGAGACTGGAATGCATTGCATTGAACCTCATTTCTGAATGAAAGAATCTTCAAAAGAAAAGTCTTGAGCCTATTGGCATAAGTAAAATGCATTTGGAGGGGCTAGAACGCTATTCCTCAGTGCAGCCAGGTTCAGAGAACAAAAATGCACTTAAAGATGTAGCTCAGTGTAATTGGTCACGCTCACATGTAATGAGCATATATCCCAAATATCTTATATAATCTCTGTTCCACTGATTTATGTACTTAGGCTAAACCAAAGAGAAGAAATTTCAAACACTAAGAAAAGAAAAAAAGCCCATCAAAATGGCACTTCTGTTAACACAGATGATGATATGGTTATGAAAATTATGTATCAGACTCTCACACACTGCATAGGTTGATGACTTTTCCCAATTCAGTGTTCTATGGCTCACTGTCCCCTCCAGAAGATACTAGAGGGGAATCACACAGCCAAAACTGAGACTGATGATGACACACATGACTTCAGGGTCTTGTAATTCCAGAAAGACTTTGAACCTGGAACATAGCACCTATTAAGAGTCAATGAGTTGGTAAATGAGCTTATTCTAGATAAATAAGTATAATGCAATTCATAATAAACCTCAGGATATTTAAATCAGTGCTTCAAATGGACAATTTCATGGTGCCTTGTCCCTTGCTATGGGATATTAATAGAAACATCTGTGAAGCTGAAATTCTTTTTTCCTTTGTTAGCATAGTTTCCAGCTGGATCTGCTCCCTGATCCAAGTAACCACAAATACACTGGTGTTACCACAATGGAGGAGGTAGGAAAACAGGGCACCAAACACAGAGAAAACAGCAAGAGTGTTCTTTCAGCGGCAGTACAGATAATTCATAAATAATCTTTGACCTAATAGGGGAATTGTATGCTCAAAGTCTAGGTTTACAGTACCTCTATTAATTTAAGAGCTCTCCCACTCATCCTGCCTCTGGCTGTGCACCCCAGTCACTTATAACAGCACTGGCACTCACCTGACCCCATGATCCGCTGGATCAGAGCACTACAGCAGGAAGAAAGCTATTAATTTATTTTAGTGTTACTTTCCTATAGCCTCACTTCTCTGAATCAGTTCAGTGTGGGGTCAGACTAGCAATACTGCTGACATACTGGAGGGGGAATGAACAAGCTTTAGAGAGGAAAACAAGACCTGCCTTTTTGGTCATTGCCCTGTTAATCAGTCCAGCTGTGACATAAAACTGTACCCTCTGTCTGAACGCTTCTACTGATGGGAGGAGAACTGGCTGAGGAAAAACAGTGAACTCCTAAGAACTGCGCTGAAACACTGCGAACACCTGCCAAACTTCTGAAAACCGCCTTCAGGAGCTCCTGAAACTTCATCTTCAAGAGAAAGAAAAATAACTTCAACCTCTGCAGTTTGGAAAGTCTAGATTGCAGCTTGGTTTAGTCAGATGGGAAAGTCTCCTCTGGGTTTCTTTTTTGCCTCTTCCTGTCATACACTCTTGCCAAGTTGTTAAAAAATGGTTGAACTGGCTTAGTCTGTGATTAAAACTGCAACTTCATGCTTTGTGAGATCGCCACTCCAGATTTCATCCATACATCTTACAGATTGCATGGAGTGGAACAAGAGAAACAAAAAGGACATGCTAGTCTTAGTCTGAAAATCAATCAAAAGCAGAATATGAATTATGATGCAGCTCCATAACTGCTATGTTTAGTTTGCTTGGAAAGGTTCTCCAGCTCTGCCTAACGAATGTCCTGTATCACCTTGGAACCTCTGGGGGTTTTCAATCCTACTCGGGGCATTAATTCAGCATACTGGAAAGCAGCTTAGACCTGCAAACCTTTCACACACAGCTCTATTGGAAGAGTAATGCTTAATAATAACTGTTATTAATTACAGTACAGTATAGGCTGTAAAGATTATCTAAATATAATCTAGTTGAATGAAACCAACTTGTTAAAAACTAACTACAGAGCTTACAGATGAATGTATAGATCTGTTCAGGTTCAGAATTCCTGAAGAACACACTGTTATCATAACCAAATCGGAATCCATCTTCATCAGACCTAGGTGATGGAGCCAGGCTGCTATTTCAGGACTGCAGTTGTTACATTATTTGGAACTTTTATTGTGATCTGGTTTTATTCCAAGGATCAAGTAGCAAGTAACTGAAACTGATTTACTCTGGTTTGTTCTTACTAACTGTTTGGCTATTGAATTACATTCAACTATTACGGAGGTTCTCTGAAAATAAATCTAGAGAATATAAAGAGTTGATAAAATGACTTTCCTTTGTTGTGTTCCAAAGCTGTCAACAGCACATGTAATTCTGGTCCCCACTGATGCTCACTTCAGATCATGTCAACATTCAATACCAAATGTAAGTTCCAATACTGACAAAGGCACTTATGTGTTTATAGTAACTCTTCAAGGAAAGTTTTATTTCCTGAAGCAGCAAATCAAAAAATCTAACAGCCATGTGCCAAAAGAATACATGCAGATGGTGAAACAACCTTACCACACTATGTCATGCGGAGTACAGAGGGGAAACCAGGCAGCTCACCAGAGCAATACAGTTAATCAAGGGCCTAGACTGCTTTCCAATGTAACAAGCTAATTCCCCAAAACACATTACACATTTCATTCTACTCATGCTATAGCAGTTACGAAAAATAAATCCACACAGTTCAAGGGTTGGAAACAATCTCCCATGTTATGATAAATAAAGCTTTCCTATACACAGGCTAACACATTAACATGTTAGAGAAAAACCGCATGGTGAGGGCCACAGGGATTTTGTGAGCTGCAGGCAGACCACAGGCTAAAGGACACAACTACACATTAAAGGACACGATTACACATTAAAACATCAGTGCATTAATTCAGCAGGGAATGTACCAGGCCCTCATTACTAAAGATAACCAGGCTTACATCCAGAATCAGGTGTCTCTTAGCGTGACAGAAGAGGCATGGAAGGTAGGCAACAGAAGAATCCTTACCCTCCTTCAAAGGAAGTCTTAGTATTAAAAGAAAAAAGACCCCCAAAAGTTCAATAAAGCTTGTTATAATCCTAAGGAAC